TAATACGTTTCAGTGCGATTATAACCTGCTACTAAAACAAAAAAAACTACAACAACTGAATGTTTTGAATGAAAAAGGTAATGTAGCCATGGCAGGAATGAATTTTGGTGTGGCGTCAGAAGAATGAATGGAGGAAACCATGGTATAGTCTTCATTGTATTATTAATAATTCAGTAAAATTATTCTTCATTAAAGTTACAAATGTTGTTTGTTATTGTGCCCAAATGGTTTACACTCTCTTGAAATGCCTTTAAAACACACAGAAATGAGGAAGTCTGTTATTATACTTTGCAGTGACTCCAATAATTTCATGTATTCTCAACTAATCAATTGTTGATCAACTATTATCCCAACTCAACATTGCATATCCTGCGAAGTGACAATTTTGGACATACACTTTGCGATATTGAGGCTGTAATTATATATTGTACAGCCTTATCATAAAGTTTTATAGTCTGTTAGTCTCACAATGAAAATCGCATTCCCATTTATCGAAAGCAAGGTTGAAAAATAAAGGTGGCCGAGCCTTTTTGTCAATGCTGCAAATTTCTGGATATGAGCTTGCCCACTCCTAATAAGTGCTCAAACTGTTGATCTTTTTAATCTATGCTTAAGACACACCTGTATACTTGAGGGTTCACTTTGAATTAAGTTTTTCAGTATGACACACTGAAAAAAACAAATTCGTAAACTAGCAGTTTTCTGTATTTTGTGATTCATATTTTTATTTTTTTATTGTTTTATTTATGCTTTTTGAATTTGGAATCTTGATCTTTCTTATAATAACTTTTAACCTTAAAAAGTTTTTTAAAAAGTCACTTTTATTAATATTTTTAATAGTTTAAAGTGAGATGATTGCCCCTTTCACACATACAGACCAAGATTACCGGCAATTTTCCCGGAAATTGATCATATGTGAACAGGCCCTTTTTGAGAATACTGATAAATTCGTTCCGGCTATTTTCCAGACAGAGAAAATGCAACATTTCCGGTAATTTGCCGGAATGCTACTCTGTGTGAACGCAGAAGGAAAATTGCTGGAAATAACGTGTTCACGATTAGAATGTGCTGACGTGAGACGTCCACTCCAGCCAATCAGAACATTCAGACGCATTCACATCCGCGCTGTTTATAAAATTAAAAGCATTTTGAGTATTTTCCAGACACATTTGGCTGCTAGATGTTACTCAGATAACATTTGTATGTTCCTTCTTAATGCCAGCTGTGTAAAATAAATAAATAAATAAATGAAATGCTTATGGTAAACCGATGTTTGTTTACCTTCAAGCTCTGCTTCAGCTGCTTGACCCGTGTGCACGTGAAGCAGCTGGTGAGCGCCAGCACAAACACATATTTTGTACATCTCGACATGCGAAAGTGTTTTCATCGAAGTTGTTCACAATACTTATTCATCCACAGAATTTGTTATGTCATCAAATGTGTAAACATTTAGCTGTGGTTCACACTTCTGCCTTTGGATGTCTCACAAAGCAGCTGCATGAATGCTAAAGCTTCAAATAAAAGTGAAACCATCAACAAAAGCCTGACCACTTCTGTGTTTACAAATACAAGTGCAGATGTTTAGAGCTCATTTCTGGTAATTGATAAAGTCGTTCCGGTACTTTTCCCAAAATTCACTGGTATGTGTTAGTAACCATTCTAAATTGTGAATTTCTATTATGTAAAATGTATTTCTATATTTGCCATACTACACACTAAAAATGTGTGCCATTAATTAAAATACACACGTCAAAGTTTAATTATGAGGTAAATATAAAATGTGACGTAATGTCTAATCTGTAAACTAGCACATGCACAGTTGAAAACAAAATTATTAGCCATCCTATAAAAGTTTTATTATTTCTCAAATATTTCCCAAGGGATGTTTAACAGAGCAAAGACATCTTTAAAAGTATTTCCTATTATGTTTCAGCTTCTGAAGAAAGTTATATATTTTAGCTTGGCTGGAATAATAAAAAAATGAACGAAAAAAAATCTTGTTGAATATCTTGCCTAATCTCTTCAACTTGCGTAGTTAACCTAATTAACCTAGTTAAGCCTTTAAATTGCACTTTAAACTGAATACTAGTATTTTGCTAAATAACTAGTAAATATAATGTACTGTCATCATGGCATATACAAAAGAAGTTAGCTCCTTTTTCTCCATTACGCAGCACTTGGAAAATATTTGAAAAAGAAAACAAATTTCACGATAGGGAGGGCTAATACTTTTGCCTTCAGCTGTATCTGTTATTTGTAAGGGTGTAATGAAGAATGTGAACAAATGCAGCTAGCCTAAAGTCACCTTCAGCTCACAGGTGTATTTTTCCGTTTGCTTGAGGACCATGTATCTCTATGGCTGACAGTTGTGTCTAGTAATAGAGGTACAGGTGGTTTTTTTGCTGACCTGTGTTTCCAGCGGTCTGAATAGGCAAACATGAGAAGCACAGACCCAATGAAAATGCAGCAGACCAGACTAATGTGCAAATGATAAAAGAAGACTCAAATGCACTATTCAAAAAAAAATTATAATAATCTGTAAAATTGTTTTTTGATTAATTGCATCCAAAATAAATGTTTGCTTTGAGATAATAAACAGTACCTGACAATAGTCTTGTCATCTATCCAAGTTTTAGGAACAACAAATGACTTTTAGTTGATTATGTGGTATCAGAAGTTGATTATATTAAAGACAAAGGCCTCTAGATTACTCTTATCTTGCCAAAATAAAAAATGATCCTTGATTTTTAATTATTTAATTAGGACAGTAAGGTCTGACTTAACGTAGACAAAGGTCTTGTCACCTATTTATAATGTACAGTACAGAAAATAAAGTCATTGTGCAGTGGAGGACTGCATCCAAAAATCTCTGCAATGACTCAAATAACTTTTATATCAAGTCATCTAGAATGGCAAAGAAAGTGTTCTTGCAGGACTCCCAGAGTTCATCAAGATTCTTTGGATTCATCTTCAATGTCTCCTCCTCCATCTTACCCTGGACATGCCCGATAATGTTCATGTCTGGTGACTGGGCTGGCCAATCCTGGAGCACCTTGACCTTCTTTGCTTTCAGGAACTTTAATAAGTCTTAAGTAATAAGTAATAAGACTTCCAATAAGTCTTCTGCAGTATTTGTGATGATTCGGATGCAGTTCAACAGATGATTCATCGGAAATATCTACCTTCTGCCATTTTTCGAAATGATCAACTAGAAGTATTATTTGTTGCTTTTACAACTGAGATCGATGACAAGGCGTCAAGAATATATATAGAGTTGAAGTCAAAATTATTCCCCCTGTTTATTTTTTCCCCGATTTCACTCATAAGTGCTTTCCTGTTTGTTTGTTTTATTGTGGGCGTCCTGCATAGTTCAGTTGCACAATTTTGATTGGGTAGAATGAACGTGTGCACATTTTTGAATATAATAATTTAAATAACTCATTTCAAATAATGGATGTATTTTATGTTATGATGACAGTAAATAATATTTGACTAGGTTATTTTTTCAAGAGACTTCTATACAGCTTAAAGTGACATTTAAAGGCTTAACTAGAATAATTAGGTTAACTAGGCAGGTTAGGGGAATTAGGCAAGTTATTGTATAACGATGGTTTGTTCTGTAGACTATCGAAAAAAATTTCGCTTATAGGGGTGAATATTTTTCCTTCAAATGGTTTGTAAAAATTAAAAACTACTTTTATTCTAGCTGAAATAAAACAAATAAAACTTTCTCCAGAAGAAAAGAACATTATCAGACATACTGTGAAAAATTTCTTGGTCTGGTAAACATCATTTGGGAAATATAAAGAAAAAAATAACAGGGGGACTAATAATTCTGACTTCAATTGTATATAATAATAATAATAATAATTATATATATATATATATATATATATATATATATATATATATATATATATATATATATATATATATATATATATATGTGTGTGTGCGTGTGTGTGTGTGTGTGTGTGTACAAATATTTTTTTTTTTCTTTTTTTTATGCTTTCATTTAGTTTGGACTTTCAAAGTACTAGCCATTAGCCAAGTTTCCATCTTAAAATGCAAAACAAATTTTTTAAAAGTAAAGAAAAATAATTTTCTGAGATTTTCCAACTAAATGTAAGAGTGGCTGACTGTGGTGTTAGTAACCTAGAAACCAACAGTAAACAATAAAGCATTTAAATAAGAGACAAACTAAACAGCAACAAAAATACTATTAACACAAATGAATGGGCTAGTCGACAAAAGTGAGGAGTTTGGTGTAGAATCACGCACTCTTCCTGAAAAGTGGTGAACGCCTTTTAAATGCAGTTTCTGATTGGTTTGCTGAATGGCATCATAATGATAATTGACAGCCTTCTCGACCAGTGTTTGCACACCTGTGCAGGACAGAATACACAACGGGAAACACCACAAAACATACGTAAAAACCATCTGCAAAAACTCTTTAAATTGGCATTCTCCCTTTGTATGTGTCATTAGTGACAATCTCTCTCTCTCTCATTAGCATAAACAGCCCTAAGTGAGAAGCAGTCGCCAGCCATTGGATTTTTCACACTGTACCTGCTGAAGATCATTTTGAAAAGAGGGCTGGGTGTACAATCTCATTTGAATTTAAAGCGACAGTCACTAGAATGACACAATTTGGATCGAAGCCTAAAAGGGCAGTTTTAAAGAGTTATAAAACATTTTGAGCTGAAACTTCACATACTTGTAAAAAGGGGATTAATATGCAATTTTAGCAATTTATATGTAAATTTACTTGGTTATGATAGGTTCTTTTTGATTACATTTTTCTGACTACCACCCAATATCTGAATGCTGAATAAATATTGTCAGTGTGGTCATATGTTTATGAGCTGATGCTTTAGAAGACAGCATTCAAAGTTTCCATTAATAATCTGGTGGACTAATCGAGCCGTTTTAATGGCATGTCTCCTTTAAAGCCAGTCCTCATGCACGCATGTTATGTATTTTGTGTGGTGTGTTCACAGGGTTCAGCTGATTCCTACACTAGCAGGCCGTCTGATTCAGATGTGTCGTTGGAGGAGGAGAGGCCGGAGGGGGGCAGTCAGGGCCGGCAGGAGCGAGAACAGCAGGCTCAATTACAGCTGGAGAGGGCAAAGGTCAAAGCACACACAATACACGTACTGTATATTATCACATTATATGTATCACATACTTCTTCACACTATGTAGAGTATTAAACGGATAGTTCACTCAAAACTGTACATTTACTCATCATTTACTCAGACTTTCAAGTGTTTCTAAACATTACACTGCAAAAAGGGATTTCTTTCTTAGTTTCCTTGTCTTTTTTCTTGTCCAAATATCTTAAATATATCTTAAATTTCTTTAGTTAAGAAGCATTTTTTAGACAAGCAAAAATATTGTCGTGTTTTCAGAAATAATTTGAGTTTTTTCCTTAAAAAAGGCAAAATAATCTTATGTCGACAAGAAAAACAAGATTATTTTGATTGTTTTAAGGAAAAAACTCTTATTAAAAATTATTTCTGAAAACAAGACAATACTTTTTGCTTGTCTGGAAAATGCTTCTTGATTTAAGGATTTTTAGACATTTGGACTAGAAACAAGAGAAGAACTCTCTTTGTCTCAATCTCTTTGTTCTGGAAGGTTAGTAAATAATGACAGAAATCATAGGTATAAAGTCTTAGTCACAGATTTATAGTAAATAAATGGCAAATAGATCAACATTGTGACTTAAATGTAACCACAAATTGTACATTTGTCACAGTTTAATGTTATTTAATTGCTTCTCATAGCCATCATGTCTGAGCTACAGTTATGCAGTATTGTTCTAGTCCAAAGATGCCCAAACTAAAGCCCGCAGGCCAGAGTTAGCCCTTGATAAGATTTAATTTGGCCCGCCATCTAATCCTAAAATCTTTTGTGGTAGTTTGTTTTATTGCTGAGCTACAAAAAAGGAAACTGAAAATAACGTTTCAATTAAATGTTGTAAATGAATCAGATTATTTAAAAAAATACACTGTCACTGATGGATAGAAGACAACTCAGAAGACATTGGCAAAGTCAGGTGCAGCTTTACTAGTGTATTCGGCATTGATCTCCATTGTGTTAAATAAGGAATTGTGTTTTTATTGTAATAAGTTCAATAAAAATTCTATTGCATTATTTAATATGATTAAATATATGTATGTATTAATAATATCAAATAAATTAAATAAATGAACCATGGCAACTTTAATGTAATAAACACTGAAAAAAATATTTTGGTGCTTGTTCAACCTACTTATGTAAAATGAGCTCATACAACACAGTTCTTGAGATTTTTTTTATGACAGTTAATTAATTGTTTTATGTTTAATCCACTAATGTGTTAACTTAATCTATTTGTGTTGGGACAATCTAAATAAATTGTGTGCAACCTTACATTATTTTACAGTGCAGTTGGGTATATTTACACTGTAAAAAATGCAGGGTTCCACACAATTCATTCATGTTGTCCCAACACAAATTGATTAAGTTAACTTAACATTTTAAACAAATTCATGTGGATTGAACATAAAAAATTAAGTTGTCCCAATAAAATCTAAAGAATTGTGTTGTTTCAGCTCATTTTAAATAAGTAGTTTGAACAAGTAATAAAATATTTTTTTGAGTGTACCTTCAGTCCACAGCCCTCAATCAAGTTTGGTTTTTGGCCTTTTATAAGAAAAGGTTTGGGCACCCCTGGTCTAGACTATATTGTTATGGCCAAGAAGCACCCACTACTTCTGTCTCAACAAGTAAAGCATCCAATTGTTATTTGTTGGTTTTGATTTGTTCTGTTTATTAAAATAAAACCAGGGAAACCCCCTGTTTTTACTCACCACAGTTCTGTACAAATGTGAGCATGGTATGCTGTGATGTGGAGGAGATGACGGTCGACACAACAGTATCTTCAGATTCAGACAGTTTTGTTTTACTCTCAATGAACTGAAAAGTGTCCAAGCTGAAATATTCTACATATCATGAAATATTCTATATATCAAACTGTATGTGGAGACCCAACAAATAGTAATAATAAATGTTAACAAAGTGATGTAATACTTTCGAAAATCATGATCCTAGTGTGTATATATATATATATATATATATATACCTAATATCCGATGGCGAGAAGATAATTATTTTTTGATGAATTGGTCAAATATTAGTGTCTGTAATGCAGCAAGTCTGTTGTGTAGACCATGCTTTTATATAAAATTTACTTTAATGTAATAACAAATATTTTCTCAATTTAAATGAGAAGTGGCTTGGACCTGTAAACAGTATTCCATATGTCATGACTTAACAAGTGGATATTATAAATTCAATATAAATTCATTTTATATATATATATATATATATATATATATATATATAATTGAAGTCAAAATTATTAGCTCCCCTTTGAATTTTTTTCTTTTTTAAATGTAAATATTTTTTTAAAAAATTTTTAACATGACTTAACAAGTGGATATTATAAATTCAACAAAGGCGACAAAAAATAATAATAAATAAATAAATAAATATATATATATATATATATATATATATACATAATTGAAGTCAAAATTATTAGCCCCCCTTTGAATTTTTTTCTTTTTTAAATATTTTTAAATGGCTTTTTTAAAACCATTTTAAGAACAAAATTATTAGCCTCTTTATGGTTTTTTTTCTGATAGTCTACAAAGTAAACCATCGATATGCAATGACTTGCCTAATTACCTTAGCCTGCCTAGTCAACTTAATTGACCTAGTTAAGTTTTTAAATGTCACTTTAAGCTGTATAGAAGTGTCTTGAAAAATATTTAGTACAATATTATTTACTGGCATCATGGCAAAGATAAAATAAATCTGTTTTTAAAGATGAGTTATTAAAACTATTATGTTTAGAAATGTGTTGAAAAAACTTATTTCCGTTAAACAGTAATTGAAAAAAATATATATAAACAGGGGGGCTAATAATTCTGACTTCAACTGTTTGTGTACATGTGGATATAACAAGTGGATTTAACAGAGTGGACAGCCAAAATTGTTGACATTTTAAAAAGTGTTGTTTAAAATGAATTTAAATCAAGTCACATTTATTTCTATATCACTTTATTTCTAAATTGTCAAAAGTGGCTTTAAAGACAAAAAAAAATAGTAGAAATAAATCAAAGTAACAGTGAAGTTAAATATATCATCAAGCAGTTAAGCTTCATGGCACCAGTGCAATAAATTAAAAGTGATGAATACATTTTAAAGGAGACTATTAGACATATAGGGTTGCATATGTTGTGCATTAGCTTACCTAAATTCAAAAACATTGACTTTCAGGCCAAAGCGGTGGCCTTCGCCGTGAAGACAAATGTCAGCTACTGTGGTGCGCTGGATGAAGATGTGCCTGTGCCAGGAACCGCCATCTCATTCGATGCGAAAGACTTCCTGCACATCAAAGAGGTGAAAAACTTACTACTGACTCAGATTCACTAATGCCTTCTTCAAATATAGATAAACTCTAGCCAAAATTCATTACTTAAGCGGCTATCGTTGGTCAAACGCTTTCAGGGGCTAAAGTTTTATCCTTTCTTCTCCATATGCAGAAGTTTAATAATGACTGGTGGATTGGGAGGCTGGTAAAAGAAGGCTGTGAGATTGGCTTTATCCCCAGTCCCCTGAAGCTGGAGAATATCAGAGCACAGCTGGAACAGAAGAAAAGCAGAGTACAAGGGTAAGCAGATAGAGATCATACTTAACTAGCTGATGGAGCATTTGATTTTCCGCAACCTCTTGGTTCTTGATGTTTTTTCCAGTGATACTTTTTTAAAGGTGCCATAGAATGCATTGATACAGTATGTTAGATTGTTCTCTGATATCTAAATGAAGTTGTATGTGGCTTAAGTAAGTTTAAATATATCCAGAAGCAGTTTTAGAGGCCGTTCACATATTACGTCTTTTGAGCATGCAAGTTCATTACGTCCATTGGTAACTTGTGCACAAATAGGAAGAAACGTGTTGCATTCACGTTTTCCAGACACATTTAGTTAACACAATCTCAACTTCTCAGAATGCCACAAGCTCACCACAACAAACTAATCAGCGTAATTTGTTTTAAATATACGTGTAATCCTGGTCTCATGGACTTAAAGCTGGAGCTTTTCCCAACTGAGCTAACTTCTCAACAGATGAACCCAAAAGCAGAAGATTAATAAGGAAACTTAGGTCGTTAGATTCAGAAAGAAAAAAATAAATAAATCTTTACTTGAAAAATAGATTACAAAGTACTACAAAATAACTGAAACTGATCTTGCAGAAAACAGGCAAAGCCAAACGGACACAAAGGTAAAAAAAATAAAACAACAACAATTAAGGGCCTACTCACACTATGCCATCCGTACCGTGCCCAGGCCCGTTTCCCGGATCGTTTGAGAAGTGTGAGTGCGCTGAATCGCGCTCAAGCACGGTTCACTTGGCTGGCCCTGGCCCGGTTGGAAGAGGTGTGCCTGAGCGCGGTACACTTGGGCTTTGGCGCGGTACGCTTGAGTGTGAGCGCAAAACGCGCCAAAGCCCGAAACCGAAAGCGAGACGTGACTTTTAAGGCACTGTTTGATAGGATTAATAATCATTCTTACTGTTCAGTGAACGCTAACTGCCGTAGCTTATTAAAGACGCAAACTCCTCACAGCACCACAGCTGCGCACCTTCAGCAGACCTCCTCACTCCTGCAGCACGAGAGCTTAATGATTGTTTATGAGCGCCAAAAGTGGCGGATCTGTTCGGCGAAATATCTGACTGCGTGTCACTGCATCCCTAAGGACTGTTTGGCGAAATATTTGACGGCATATCAAACGACTGAAACGATATAACTAGAGAAATCTCCACTGTGCTACTGAGTGAGAGCGTATGGCAAGCCGTTTTAGCATTTAAACCTTGTTCTGACTATCCATAAATATATTTAGAGATATCTCTAATTATATTTTGACTAGTCATAATTATAATTCGACTAGTCAGAATGACAATTAGAGATATCTGCAATTACAATTGTACTAGTACGAAATCAGATTGGAGATATCTGCAAATATATTATGACTAGTCATTCCTCCATTGACTTCCATTGAAAAAATATTTGCAGATATCTCTGAGTTTTGACTTGTCAAAAATCCAATTCAAGATATCTACAACTGTAATTCGACTATTAGTAAATTAATTAGAGATCTTCAAATATATTTGTAAATATCTCTAAATATAATAAATTAAAGACATCTCCAAATGTATTATGACTAGTAAAAACTCAGAGATATCTCTAATTACAATTGTGACTTGTCAAAACTCATTTAGAGATATCTGCAAATATTTTTCAATGGAAGTCAATAGAGGAATATGACTAGTCATAATATATTTGCAGATATCTCCAATCTGATTTCGTACTAGTAAAATTGTAATTGCAGATATCTCTAATTGACGGGCCGTCGGGGGAGACGGGAGGGGGGACAAGCGTGCTTTGGCCCGGTTCGAGGCAACTGTACCTAGTGTGAGTACGGCCTAAGTGTCACTTAGCTTCTCAAAAGAATCAGGAGATCATCAGGCAATAATGGCTCAAGACTGAGACACTAGTTAGTTACAGACAAACTTATATAGGGCAAAACACAGATGTTTGTAATCTGGCTTGAGTGGTGACACACAACAGATGGCAAGAAAGTGGTGCCATCCACTGTTTTGAAGGCTGCATAAAAATTGTACTGTATTTGAAAAGTCAGAAGAGCACCTCTTTCTGGTTAGGAGGAGAAATGCAGCTTATGGATGAATCCCTACAATACACATTTTAGCAATAATAGTATACACATATAGATAAACACAGAGCACCCAAACACTGCAGTGCTTTTTTATTTTCTCCATAAATAAAGCGTATATTAGAGCTACAGTGATGGTTTGCCATCCTCTGAGAAAACTGTTGATAGTCACCCTGCAACAATAGACGCTAAAACAAGTAATGTGCCTCGTACCTTCCACATGCTGTATGTAATATGTAAGACACAATATGTAAGTGGCCCTTTACAGGTCAATTTCCAACACTAGAAATTACACTAAGAGCTGAGTGATATGACACTATGCATAAATGTGCAATAAACTCATATATTTTGGTTTGTTGCCTCGTTTCAAAAAACAAATGTGCCAAATTTCACAATATTCATGCTGAAATACCAAAACATACATTTAACAGACCTTATGCTTATATGCGCGAGGCAGTGGCGCAGTAGGTAGTACTGTCTCCTCACAGCAAGAAGGTCGCTGGTTCGAACCTCAGCTCAGTTAGCATTTCTGTGTGAAGTTTGCATGTTCTCCCTGCCTTCGTGTGGGTTTCCCCGGGTGCTCCGGTTTCCCCCACAGTCCAAAGACATGCGGTACAGGATAAATTGTCTGTAGTGTGTGTGAATGTGTGTGTGGATGTTTCCCAAAGATGGGTTGCTGCTAGAAGGTCATCAGCTGCGTAAAAACTTGGTGGATAAGTTTGCGGTTCATTCCCCTGTGGCGACACCGGATAATAAAGGATTAATTAACTAAGCTGACAAGAAAATTAATGAATATCCGTATAACATGGCATTGTAGGGTTGACAAAATTTGGGCAGTTTTGAAATGTAAATTTTATATGCAACTTAGGGCCTGCTCACACTATGCCATCCGTACCGTGACCAGGCCCGTTTCCTGGATTGTTTGAGAAGTGTGAGTGCGCTGAATCGGGCTTAGGCATGGTTCACTTGGCAGGCCCTGGCCGGTTGGAAGAGGTGGGCCTGAGCGTGGTTCACTTGGGCTTTGGCGTGGTACGCTTGAAACTGAAAGCGAGCGACTTTATAAGGGACTGTTTCATTTGGATTTATTAATCAATCTTACTGTTCAGTGAACACAAACTGCCGTAGTTTATTAAATACGCAAACCCCTCACTGCAAGACAGCTGTGCACCTTCAGCAGACCTCCTCGTTCCTTCAGCACGAGGACTTTATGATTGTTTATGAGCGCCAAAAGTGGCGGATCTGTTCGGCTAAATATTTGACTGCATGTCACTGCATATCAAACGACTGAAACGATATAACAAGAGCAATCTCCACTGTGCTGGCACTCATTGAACAGCGCAGCATCGATGACGTAAGCGTGCCCAAGCCCGATTAGTGTGATTGGGACCTTTAAACCCTGCTCGATTTTCAAAATTAGAGTATCACATATATAAGTGTAATACAAGCTTAGATAAACTTAGAACTAAGGCAAAAATATCATTGTAATCTCAATATGAAACGTTGTGGCCAATCAAATGCTTATCCATATTAATGATCCCATGTGGAGTTCATAAGAGTCTGTATTTTATTCCGATTGGCCTATTTTTCACTGAGATTTTACACTCACAGGATTTACATGAGAATAAGGATACAATGGCAATTGGGACTCATGATATGTCATTTCCATGTTGTGAACTCTTATTATTAATCTATGCCTACAGTAGGTATATCCAGATGTTCATTATATGGCACCTTTAAATCAATCTAAAAGTGAATTCTTGTATAATTTTCCAAAAATGTGATCCACTAGAGATCTCAAGGCTCATTTAGACTGTGTGTAATTTGTTCTATTAAAGGGGCTATATGTACAAACTTTTATTTATTAATCTACTGCCAGTGGATTAAAGGCATAGTTCAACCAAAAGTGAAAATTCTATCATCATCCACACAAACTACCTATCTTCTGAACCTGTTTGAGATTCTTTCTTCTGTTAAACTCAAAAGAAGATATTTAGAAGAATGCTAGTAACCAGTAACCATTGATTTTGGATGTCAATTCTGACAATTTGGATGTCAATTCTGAGAGCATTTCTGAATTTTAAAAATAGCCCCTTTAATAAAGTGCTGCCATGTCCTATCTATAGAAAACCAAATGCTCTGGACTTACTGTTTTATAGATGCAGATTAAATATGGTTATTTGTTGATATAGGAACTAAATATTGTATACAGGTAGTCACTGCATGTCTTGCTGATTGATACAATGTAAATGTTATAAAAACACATAGTTTTTGAAAGCTTTTAAAAATAATCTGGTCAGTACACCTTAATAGAGAGGTGGTGGGTTTTGAGGCCTTTGAAAGAAAATTGACTTTTCAGTAGCATAGCATTGCTTGAAATGTGAAATTACTCAGATTAAACCCAGAGGATTCATACAAGATTTGAATATTTTACCCTCTGTATTCCCCCACCCCCGCCAAAAAAAAAAAACAGTCAACAAAAATTTGTCAACATAAATTTTTTGTTTCTTTCTTCTGTTGAACACAAAATCATTTATTCAGAAGAATTTTACAAAACATCAGCCATTGACTTTCATAGTATGTTTTTTTCACATCAGTTAATTAACCCCATAGTTTATGATTGTGAATTATGGATTATTAATTTTTTTATGTTTATTTACAGTGCTTTCAGGAAAGTATTAACAGCACTTCACTTTTTTATGTTACAGCCTTATTCCAACTTTCAGAGCAGCAGAACATTTTCTGTAACCTTCCCCAGCATTGTGCCTCGAGACAATCCTGTCTCGGAGGTCTAAAGGCAATTCCTTTGTCTTCATGCTGGGTTTGTGCTTTGACATGCACTGTCAACCCTGGGACCTTATATAGACAGGTGTATGTCTTTATGGGGTATTGTGTGTAGAATTTTGAGGAAATAAATGAATTTAATCCATTTTGGAATAAGACT